AATGCATCAAATTAATAAAATCATTGATTTTTAGCAAATCAAGAGAATAGCTATCAAGAGGTAACTCAGACCTTTCTCGCCTCTCAGCATGGGCTGCCTGTGAGAAACTGTTTCAGAATACTGTGATTTATACAAAGACAACTGGGGTAAATACCTCTAAACTCAAACTAAACCCTGCTTTTTCACGAACCAACTGTAATGAATGTGACTCAAGTTACAGAGTTATAGAGCTAGTTGCAAGCAGACCTGCAATGGGAAACATATGGCAGATTGCACATGTGAAGGATCCCAGCAGGCAGTAACTGCTCGGCTGTAGTTGTGTGGGGGACAATTGTGTGTCATGGTGAATTGTCCATGGTAAACTACCATAGTTCAATCCATTAAAAGTACTGAAAGAACAAAAAGATCCTCAATATGTCTGAGTTCAAGAAACATTTGAACAACACTCTCAGGCACATGGTGTGATTCTTGGGGTGTCCTGTGCAAGGCCAGGAGCTGGCCTTGATGATTGTAATGGGTGCCTTCCAGCTCAGCGTATTCTGATTCTATGTGTCCTGTACTCCCCTGCAGTAAGTCAGCTATCCTAAGTCCCTCACTTTTGGGATGTGGAAGGAGCCCCACAAGTAGCTGAGGCAGCCTATGAGAGTGGGCTGGCAAACAGAAGGCAGAATAACTTCCTGGGGAGTTTTGAAAGCAACTTTGAAACAAATTTTATAGCTCAATACAAATCTGGCGGAGGAAAAAGATGTGGCTTTGCTTATAGAAGCAAGAAAAAAAGCTGGCAGTAGCATTTTTGTCCTCTGAGATCCATGTTACTGTCTCACTTCAGCACTTTCCTCCAGACAGGTGTGTACTCACATAGTAGAAATTGCAGCAGAAGTTAGGCTTTCTCTTTCATTTGAAATTGGTATTCCCAGATCAGGTAAGACAAGACTACACACAAGAAAAATGAAATGCTACAGAGAACTCTAGAATTTCTTACCTACGCTGCCAAGTCCAAGTGAGAGGTTTTTGATAAGGAAATTGAAATCTTTGAAACAAGTAAACAGACAGTAGAACAGAAGCAGGACTTGAGAGAGGAACCCCAGGACACTTGGAAATAATTGGTGTTTTTTACATAACGCACAGTAACATTCAAAGAAGCAAAACAATCGTTAAAGACAAAAGCAGCAAGAGAAAGTGCAGGCATCTAATCCTCTGGTAGGATTTTTTGGGGGAGGTGATGAGAGGAAACAGGAATGGAAAGTACAAGAGAGGTTTTATCAATGGCCTGCCTGCTGCTACACATGACCTATGGTATTCATTAAATCAATCATATAAAATGTTAATTTTCCTTTAAAATGTCAATTGTTAGGCTATGTCCCTATCTCTTCCATTAAGAAGTAAAGTTAATTATGCATTATTTGTTACAAGTAGTTTGTTTATCCCATATAGAAGACATGGATCGAATAAATACCCCAGGCAAAACATTTCTTAGTACTAGTATTTTTGAATCAAAGGTTTAATTAGGGTTTGGATTAAAATCTGACTACTCTGAAAACTATGGAAGAACTTAACGCAAGAGCACAAATAAGATGTAACAAAACCATTCTCTTCCCTGCCATATACCCACAGGAAGATGTAAGTCTTTCCATAAATGGAATAAACAATACTCTGGGGATACTCAGGAATGCTTATAGTGGTTAGTTTTTAACATGATACAATAAAGCATTGTATAGGGATAATATTCTTGCAGAGTCAATGGACATGAAAGCAAAAAGGGCTGAGTCAGGGAGAGGCAGATTTAACCATATAAGAGGCAAATTTTAAAACCCTTGGTTATCTGGGTTATGCTGTAACTTCCTCATGCAAAATATCCGATTTACTGGACCCTCACTTCAGCAGTACTAGAAATTTTTGGTTACCAGGGTAACAAAACTCTATATGCTGGCCTTTGTAAGGGTATGATCAAAGGGACTATCCAATTTCCACCCACTGTGTGCAGGCTGCCAATTTAAATATTTACTACCCCTTGAACTGGCCAGCAAGCAACACAGCAGCAGAGAGGGGTATGAACCATATATGTACTGTCACTGGCCTGGGACATGTTCTGTTTTCTGGAAAACGTATAAGAGAAATTTGAAGTGAACATGCTGTGGCTACCTTAGTAGAATAATTTACTATGTGCTCTAAAAAAAAACCATAAAAAAAACCAATCCAACCAAAAAACCATTTACAACTATAGTGCAGTAAGAAAATTGTTCAGTAATGTCTCAGAGAACTGTCCTTGCTATAAGCGTACACTTGAGCTGCATTGTTTCATTATAGAATAGGAATTCATTAAGCCATTAAGTATTAATTTCCTTTAAAATGCTGTTGTTCTATTATGCTCTTGTTCTAAATATGTATTTATTATCCTTTTCAACTAGGATGAAAGTAACAAACTCACAAATGCCTCAATTTCCTCACTGAGTCTAGCTTAGTATTGAGAATAAGCTAGTTTCCCCTATGCTAAATACACAGATGTATTTATATTTGCTCCCAGCACTCTGTTCTCAGGATTCTATGTATCAGTTTCTCCTCATCTTTCCAAGTCCATGCTGATTTTTGCTGCCGTTTTTGGTTTCTGTCCAATTTGTTAATATCCTTGTCATAGCATGGTGTCCAAAACTCAACAGTAACCCAGCTGTGGCCTCACAACTCCTGAACATTTATTGTAGTAATGTAATTTCTGTGCAGATCTTTTTCTAATTGTAGCTCTCCTGGTAGGAGATTCACATTCAGTTTAGAAACATCCCAAATCATGCAACTGAACTTTAAAGGAATCTTAGTACTTGGCTTTTACCTACAAGATTATGAGATTCTCAGAACTACAGGTGAGAGAAGCAGAAAACTCAGTGGCAACCACTGCTCACCTCTAGTGTTTTCTCGCTGTTTTCCTTCATTTTTTCCTCTTTTTCTTTTTTCCTCCGGTGAGAGCCCATTGTATTTAACATTTTACTTCTGGCTTTCTTCTTTTGTAGAGTGCTAGAAAAAGTACTTCATAAGCATATGCTTGTTCAAACACACTTTTCCTTTATCCCTCCCCTGGAAAAAAATTCTCCATGTTTTAAATAGCTATCTGGAAGAAGTAATACCAATGTGTTCTTCCAGCTCATTATGGAATACACCGAGCTTAGAATTGTTCCTTACAAATTTTATTTATCCTTAATGTTTTGGTAAAAACATCATTAGCAATGCTTTTGCCTTTTTGTCTATTAAATTTACGCAGTGGTTAATTGTTGTAGTGCCTGTTGCAAGGAGCTGCTTAAGGCTGTTAGCAGGAAAACCTAAAGAGCTGGAGTTGCTTAGAAAGTTCAGAATGGATAGTTGACATATTTTCGCTTGCTGTCAGCTAGTGCTCTCATAAGACCATAGACAGCACGAGTGAACGTAGGAGGAAACAATACATCTGCAGACACTGGCAGACAGCACTGCTTGCCAAATTTGGCCACAGTTCCTTTAGATAAATAATTTCTCAGTGACGTGCTGTGTTGAAATTATATAAACAGCAAAAATTACTAAGACCTGGGCCCCAGGGTCTTGTGGGTTTCAAGATTTTCTGCAATCAATATTCTGACATCTGCAAATATTTTTCCCTAACAGCTGATGCCAGGAACGAAGCGACATTACCATCACTTTCTATGTGCTCAAGATTTTGAATATATTGAAATAGTGTCTCTTCAGCCCCAGCCCTGGTCAGGACCTTTGCACTGTTATAACCACCAGTTCGTACCAGTTATGCAACAGGTATCAAAGAAGCAATCTTTTCTCAGAATGGCCTGTAACCTCCTATAGCAACAACTCCACTAGCATTTCAAGACATGTACGTGGAAAAACACTGTATTACATTTCAGTCCCCAGAATTATCAAGGGGTTTAGAAAAACGTCTGCTGAACATAATGTAGCTTACTTCACACACTGAATGTACAGGGTTATTACAGTGGATTTTCCTACTTAGGACCAGACAATAGGCAGCGCCTAAGTCTGTGGTTAAGACTTCCTTGATAATTAAGATACTTCCACTATAACAGTCATACACACTAGAGCTATCTGAATACCATCTTCTATACCGAGGAATTCATGCAGGAAACCAGTGTGCATGATTTTCCCCAAACAGAAGCATCCCGCAGAAAACCTTACCTGGCTAATTTTTGTACAGCATCTGTAGACAAGCTTCTGAAGTTATAAAACCAAATCATTTATTGAACAGATATTTTATTAAAAATCAGTTTCCATAACAGAAATCAAACCTATGCCTGTCACATGAGACATTTTGAATGCAGCACCTATTGAATACTGACAGTTACCCGTGGCACTAAGGAATATGGGCTATGCAAAATGAGTACTGCATTTATTATTACTGCCCAAGTAGGAAAGGCCAGATACGAAAAAAATGTAGTTTTAAAAGTTATGCTTTTCTTTTGATGATATAACCTCCAGCACCTGGCCTCTCCTCTAGCAACACTTCCAAAGTAATACTGTTCTCTGAAAATAGTCTGAATAAAACGAACACACTTTGTTCCATTTTCAGTCCCCTATGTACTAAACAGGAACAAAGCAGAAATATGCAAGTATGGAAAAAAGTCTCTGAAGCACTTTCTTATTTCAGTCATACCTTAGGGCAAATTTGTAAATTTTAAGGGAATATCTCGAGAATTAAGCACAGAGCTTATGAAACTCTTTTTCTTTGTTGTTTTTGATCAAAGGTAACTTTCTCAGAGAACAGGTATGCACGGCAATAACCCCTCAGAAGTGTCTTAGGATAAGACCATGTTAGTGATGTTTATGTAACTTTTACATCTGCACGTATTTCTTAAACTGACATTTGCAGTCTAACTGTACAAGACAAAATTTCAGTAGTTCAGAGCACAGTGTGATGTTATTTCAATGAATGTAAATGTTGAGGGCAACAAGGTAAAACTACCTCAGTATCTCATTTCCACATAAAACACATGAAAGGAATAACAGAATATGGGATCTTCTCAGAGTCTTATGTCTTTAAAAAAAGGATGCAACAAAGCCTCCTTTGCAGTTACTCTTGTTGCAGGGTTTAAGTCTAGTAGCTTATCAAGTAAGTCATATGCTTCATCAGGAACCTGATCCCATCCTTTCATGTCAGTTGCCTTCATTTCCAAAGCACCATCACCTTCCTGAAAGCTTTTTCGTTGTTGAATTTGTTTTCCCAGTGTCTCAGGAGCACATGGTTTGTCTACTGCAAATGGCAAAGCTGAGTCATTTTCAGACCCATTGGGCACTTCTCCCTGAGATCTCTTACAGCCACTGTTTGTTCCTCTCAGCTTTTCACAGAGAGTTCGTAGGTTTTGAGTTGGGACAACCTGGGTACACACAACTGATTTACCTGGAGGAAAAAATTGTACAGGTAAGCCACATTTTATTATACTTTCTATGCAGCTGTAACTTTCAAGTTTGTTTCAGAGAAATTTCATGTCTCGAAGTGTAACCAGAATGAAAAAAAAACCACCCCAAACCTATCAAAGAACCAAAACCAACCCCCCTGGTCTCCATACCAGCCATGCTGTTACAGCAATAGTCCCAGCAACTCAGAAGGGTCACAGCCTCAGTTCTGCTCAGAACAAAGCAGTTTGGTTTATATGAAGTTATGTAGTGACAGGTTGTCAGCTACCCCGTACACCACCTTTTTGCATTTCACTGTCATTTTAACAAAACTGAAGAAAATTAGATACCCTGATTTTTACACCTTTGTCTGGAGAATGAACACTGATGCTGTTAGTTACATGTACAGGTAGCAAGTGCTGCAGCATTTGGCCTGCAAGCAATTAGGGGAATGGTTATTTTGGTTTGTTGTGTGTTTTGTGGAGGTGATTTTCTGTTTTTTAAACAGGCCAGCTGTTGGGTTTTGGTTTTTTGTTGTTACTAGTTCTTCTTGGGGCGTGGGGGGAAAGCAAGGTTTACATCATCTAAATATTAAGTCATATTGACTTAAGCCTCCAGGACAAATTTTGCAGGAATAGAAACTCTGTCTCAAGAATTCTAACCAAATGCCAGTAGAAAACATTTAGTTGGCATATTTCACCTCAAGTAGCCCTGACTTAGTGAAAGGCAGTAGACAGGTTGGGAAAACTATGGCATGAAGCACCCCATATACACATTGTAAAAGACAGAAAGTACAAAAACATCTTAGAAGTCTGTAAATATAGACTAGTACTTTTGGGGTTTACATGCAAAAAGTGTCATTTACTTCCAAAATGACTCTAAAACCTAAAAATATATTTATATACACAAACAAAAAAAAAAATCAGATTGTAAGTCACACCATTAAATAACATTTTTCCCCCTTTCCCCATAATTAAGGTTTGCATACCAAAAGTTCTAGCAGCCTGAATGGTTTCTCTGGATCCACGGACTGTCATGATTTGTGCCAAAGCAGTTAAATCATCACTTGCTTTGAAAAATGGATACCGTCCACTGAGCAGAGAAAGGAATATGATTCCTGCAGACCACATGTCAATTGCTGCAAAGGAAAGCAAATTTAGTAATAACTAAACTCACAATTTCATCACAAACAAAATCACAACCTTCTTTTAAAAGAAATTATGATCTGAAAAGTTCCTATCAGCAAAAGTTATGTTCTGAAGCACTTCTTGACTTTAGTCACATAGATAATACTTTAGCAAAGAGTGGAAATTACTACAATTAGAATGAAGAATAATTTCCTACTTTCATGCAGAGAGTGTGTATTTCTTGATAAACTTAAAATGTACCAAAACAATGTATAAAGTTGTTTTACCCCGGGAGATGAGATGGGTCAAATGAAATGCCTAGTTTTGATACTTCTTGAACTTTACTTCATATGAAGAAAATCTTATATAAAGGTCATAAATAAGAAACAATTCACAAATGAATGTGAATCTGAATTTTGGGGGGAATGAGGCTGTAGGCAGCACTAAGAAATTTATCTTACCATGAACTTGCTCTCTAATATGAAATCATTTGACAATATAGGCAGTTTAAATCTAATAGGTAGAAGTTATTCATCACTTTGTTATGAAGAGTACAGAGAGTACTCTGGGGATAGATGCCAAAGCCTGATGGAAACTTTAGTACTGAAAGTTACAAGAATACCTGTCTGCCATAATTTTTTTGGCTCACTAAGGTGCACATTTTGAGAGATGGCAACGTTTAGTGAAGAAGAGAGTTTGAAGGATTCTCAAACTTTGAAGAGAAAAATTAACAGTTGGGAAATAAAGGCATAGTCATCCTACTCCTCTTCAAAAAAATAAGTAGCAAAATAAGCAGTAATTAATTTGGATGTTTTAATTAGAAACACTCAGCACAGGACTTCGATTTTTAAAAAAAGTATCAGGTTGACTTCAGTTGCAAAACTAGATTTTACGTCTTTTATTAAAAAATAAAAATCCAAGTTAATCATTTGGCACAATTCACAGCAGAAAAGTTTTCTACCTTCTGCATAGTTCCTGTAAAAAGTTTTAATATTACTGTATCACTGTTGAAAAGATGATACTATCTGTTTGAGGGTTTGTGCATCGCCCTGAGGATGTGCTTTAGTAAACTGGAGCAATCAAGGTCAAGACCTTTGAAAAGGTTTAATTATGTTACTCTTGCTGAAATTAATAGGCATTATACATATGAATGGTTAATAAATCCTGGCCCTACAATTCTGGTAGACCTGTGATCATTGACAGACTCCAAGATTCTGTAGAATGACATCAAAATCATGGTTCTTTCCTATGCTTTTGTCTAGTGTTATCTAACTAGTGAGGAAAGGGGAGCAGGACAAACCAAGTGAAAGGGTAATGGACCTGTGTAGCATCAGCTTGGGAGTTTAGGTTGTATTCCCTGCACTGTGAACCTGGGTCTGATGCGCGGTGGTAGCTCTGGATAGAGTCAGCTGGATCCACCTGGTAAGTTGGTCTCAGCACAGAGACCAAAACTAGACATAAGATTGGCAGGAATACAAGGAGGTGACTCCAGCAGTCCCAGATGGAAGCGGCCAAGAATATTTGTTAGTTGAAATAAAACATAATATCATAAATATTAGTATTGGTCTACCCAGTTCTAATTAAGGCCTTTGTTGACATACTACAGGAGCTCAGCACCACTCAGACCTTTCAGGGATGTCAGTGCCACATGCAAGAGTTTCCAGATTTACCCCTGTTTTCTGTAATCCTGCTCTCCATTACCCTAGAGAACAGAAAACTGTCTGAAAGCATGTTTAACACCAGCATGTGTCCAAGATTTCCCAAGTATGTCTTCTTTCTGCCTAAATTCTGTCTAGACAGATTCAGGGATTGTCTAAACTTGTCCTAGATTTCTGGATGGCTTGTAGCCTATAAAGCTGGCTGTTACAGCACAGGCACAAGAACTCCAAACAAGCTGCCATACCTCTGAAGTCCCAGTCATACCCATAGCACAGACATTGTTTCAAATAACAGAAAACTATCTAGGCATAAACTGATCAAATGTATTGTTAAGTCCATTTTGAGTGTGTATACACACTTTAACTACTGAAAATTGTCAACTTTCTCAAAAAGTATTCAGAAAAAAAGTGGCTAAAACCTGTAATTTTAAATCCAGCTTTTGAAGACATTTGTATTTTTTCATGAGTCAAAACTCCTAGTCATACACCAAATGTGTAATGGATAACTTTGCTTGTATTGGCTCTCCATCCTTAGGTAGGCACAACCTCTTCCATGTTGCTTGCAACACCTAATGCATTAACCATCCCTCTGCTGTGTCCTGATATTTACCCAAACTACTGAATCTTGTTAACTAGACTTTAACACTGAGAAATTAAAATTTTAGTAAGATTATGCTATTTTTACAGACTAGCTATTTAAAGCACTAGTGAAAAGAAAAAATTCTGATAAAAAAATCAATAAATGATGCTTTCTAGAACCCATTTGCAATTCTACCATTAATTACGCCTGCTATGACAGTAAAGTATGTGACAATCTGTCTAGAAAAGTCTACAGTATGTCCTTTCCCCAAGATTTATTCAAGATCTTTCTTGAATAAATAAGCCAAAAAACTTGATAAAAATTATGGCTTTTTTTTTTTTAATATATTGTATTCCACTCCTGCATGTGGCCCTAACCCTCAAATGAATAAAGATATATTCGAGTTTCAAACACAAGAAAAATATTCATGACTTGTTCTTCCTCCTAATAATAAACTTTTAATTAAAATCAGGAAATGCTTGATAAGGGTTAGAAGGGATGAAAAAATTAATTTCACATGTTAAAAAATCCTCCAATTAAAAAAAAGACAACAAAATATGCATAAATTAGAAGGATCAAAAGGTGAGAAAAGGCATTTGTTTTGGTCTGTTGTGCAGTACCTGTGGTCTGAGTGGGGCACTTTGTTAATACTTCTGGTGCTCTGAATCCAGGTGTTCCTGCCCTGGGGGCAACTTGTTGAGGCCTTGTAATAAGAAGTAGACATATTTAGAATATAAATGTTGATAAATAAGTTCTAATAATGCTTAATATTATTTTTAGAATATACTTATGTAAGATGTGTAAACAGCCTAACCCTACTTTATTCAAGTTTTATAGAACTTTGAAGCACCTTATCTAGCATGACATTATGTTGCATAAGGCCATAGTCTTATTATATTATCTATTATATTTTTATTATATTATCTAGCATAAGATAGTACCAGAGAAATACTTACTGCATACTTAATTCACAATGACCTTTTTTAATTTCATCCAAGAGCAGCATAATTTTTGTTAAAGTCTTGTTTTCATAGGAAACTTTGATGTTGAAACTAATTCACCAAAGGCAAAAAATGCATGAGATTCTTGAATGTATATGCTCTGGCTTTGTATTAGTCCAGAGCAAACTAAGGTTAGCTCTTTCTGAGTGTTGACAAGAATTTACTTGTCATTAACTAAAAGCTGTGAAATTATCATTATTTAAAAAATAATGTGGGGATAAAAGGCAATAGTATATCATAATCAAAACTAACCGCAGAGACTGCAGAGGGATGGAGTTGAACTGAGCTACTAAGATTCTCTAACAGGAGACACTGGCACAGGTTGCTCAGAAAAGCTGTGGATGCCCCTGCCTAGAAGTGTTCAAGGCCAGACTGGATAGGGCTTTGAGCAGCCTGGTCTAGTGAAAAGTGTCCCTGCCCATGGCAGGGGGTTGGAACTGGATGATCTTTAAAGTCCCTTCCAACTCAAACCATTCTGTGATTCTATTAGTTTTTCAAATTAATACAGAATAGTCATGTTTGCTTTTTATTCTACATTTCATCATTTCCAGAATCCCAACTGTTGGCATGATTTAGGCCTGTAAGATAACTACTAATGACAGATTGATGTATTGTCTTTTCTAAGTGTTGTAATTAACTCAAGCGATTTTCTACACATGTAGGTGAATAATTAAATACAACCACAAAAAATCATTAACAGAGGATCTCATTTGCTGCAGATAGCAGTGAACCAATTATCCCACAAATTCCATGAACCGCTCTTGTTTAAAAAGAGCATACTCAGTGTTTTAAGAGTTTAAGAGATCAAATCCTATCTTTCACCTACTAAATTAACTGTCTAGTAAATCTAAGTTTCTGACTTTGTTTGACATCAGTGGACAATTTTACAAATTTTACAACATTATCAAAGCAAATTACCTTGAAAGGCAAACACTGCAAACTCTGTCCGTTGCATAACAGTCACAGGGCAGGTTTAAGGGACCGGCAGCTTTCCTGGCTGCCCCATTGCTCACAGTTTTGGTAAAAATAATCTTCTTCTTTGTTACTAACTTCCTAGATGAAACATCTATCACCTTTGCTTGTTTTATGAGCTGCAATGTAGATATTTTAGAGAAAGTGACATATTTAAAATATTAAGACTGAACCACTGCTCGTGAGCAAGAAGCTGCAATTTTAGGACAGAAGACACCAAATCTTTTTTAACAGTATCACAACATCTATAAAACAGACACTGGAGCTTCCTAAATATTCTGATTTCCTCCCCTTCCCCTTCAGAAGACATTTTTTAGCGTTTACTAAAACCCAATATATATATTAGATATTCTGAAGCTGCAAGCCAAGTATTTTTCAAGTTAGTATAATGTTTCAAGAACTTTTTGGCTCAATACGAGAATAAGAAGTAAAGAATATGAAAAGCCACAGCAACACTCAGGCACTAACCCCAATTCTACAATAAAATACTCACTGTTGACAAAACCCTCTAATTTAGTTGGGTTTCCCCCTTGTCATATTAAAGACAAATGACAAAAAAATAGTTACAAGTTTTATCCCCAGCTTCATATGCAAAAGAAAAAAAAAGTTGCACAAGATAAGTAGAGGGAGGTTGAGCACTGGAACAGGCTCCCCAGGGAAGTGGTCATGGCATCAAGCCTGTCTGAGTTCAAGAAGTGTTTGGACAATGCTCTCAAGACACGTGATGTGTTTCTCAGGGTGTCCCGTGCAGGACAAGGAGTTGGACTCGATGATCCTGATAGGTCCTTTCCAACTCAGCATATTCTATGATTCTGTGATCAGTTACACAGATACAGGTATAGGAAAAAAGATTAATTCAGCATCCAAATAAGATCAGCTAGGGAGACAGCTATGTAACTAGTTGTTTAAGAGTTTCAAAAGGGACTGAAACAGAAATGAAAAAATCTTTAAGCCTTTTAGCAAAGGCACACTTAATAATCTGCTCAAAAACTTTTAGTTCCGCAGCATCCTGGAGAAGTGTCCAGTCTTAAAGAACCACCAGTTCTGTAATTTTCCAAATAAGCAACAGATTGATCCTACTGATGATTCATACTTTTACTTTTGTACTTGAGTTCTCCTGGTATGTGGAACTATAGACATTGAAATTCCTCTCTCCAAAGACAGAGCGCTGGACAGAATGGTGCACAGAGTCCTCCTGCAATACCAACAAAAAGGACAATAAGGATCCGATCTAACACACAGTCAGCTGGATACTGACAGTTCAAAAAAAAAAGTGTGAAGTGACATAAAACATGAACAGCTGCATGTAAGTAATTTTCAGGCATCAGTTTACTGTGGATGAAGAAAACATGGTCTAGACAGAACAGCAAACATGCTGACAAAACGAATCACACCTCAGAAGTGCCCCAAGACAATCTGAGTGTAGTCTGTACTGCATTTGTTATGCAATAACTAAATATAGGTGAATAATTATTGGCTTGGGGAGGAGTTTCACTGTACATGTCTCTTAAAAAAGGATTTAAGGCTGTCTAAACAGTAACCCATGCTAGGGTTTCATACAGCCTTTGGCACTGTATTATATTTAACAGATAATGATGAAGCCAATCCAGTTACATAGGAGTAGCCTCTGTGCATCCCTCTGGGGCCCTGCAAGATGTGCACACATGGCTTCTGTGCAAGTATCGCATCTCCCCCTGTTGGATGAAGGAACACATTAAACATACACAACAATATTAATGAAATAGACTGAGAACCTTTCCTCCTCTTCCTTGTTTAATCTGTGGTTTTGAAAGTGAGCTGGACTTTCTGTCAGCTGCTTTTGAGGCTGACTGTTGAGCTATCTGTTTAGGTGCTGTGTTACTGACAGAAACCCCATTTCCCAAGGCTACAATGGGATTATTTTGCGAGCAACTTTCCTGCTGGTCATCAGAGTGGGCAGTTTTCAGAAGTTCAATTTTCGTATCAGGGGTTCCTTGTGCCAAGCCAAAATCTACCAAGGCATACCTGAAAGACACAAATTTAGAATCAGGAGTCACAAAGTATCTATCCATCATTTCAATTTACTATTCATTACTTGCTTATTTATCTTTCTTTCACATTTTGTTCAATATGTTGCTTATCTGTACTATTGCCAGCATCACAGTCCTGTTTTCTTCCTTCGTCTCCTATTGTTCCATCTTAACCTATCCCCTCAATGTTTTTTACCCTATACCACTCTTACTTTATTGTTTCTTGTCCCAAAATCTTCTCAAGTGCATACTTTCTTCAATGGTGTTAAAAAAAATATTCCCAGCAACTGATTTCTGGGGTTTTAATCCTACAGCTCCAAACCTTCAACCAACAGTCAAGTACAAGTAACTTCACTCTTGCAGGATTCCCATGGGCAGAGGACAAATGTAGAAGTGAAGACAGACAAGACTAACAATGCTGAAATTTTTGACAGACTTCTGGCAAATACTACTGAAATTTGAGTCTTCAAACAGGTAAGACTACATTAGTTCACACTTCAGATCTGTCCTTAAAAGAATTATTTTTTGCTTCAACCAGCACACACACAATCCACCAGTCCCTGGGATTCCAACTCAACTCCATGGCCTCCACACACAAAGCAGAGATTAAGGTTCAAACAAATGCTGGAATGTGACAAATGCTGTCACAAAGTGATAGTACAAATTCATTTTGACAGATTTAAAAGAAAAAAAAGAAAACAGTATTTCTCAAACTTTTAAGCTTCAGGTTTGGCAAAATGCAATCAAATCTTCCCTACAAACTGTCACTACTCAGAATCATAGAAACATTTAGGCTGGAAAAGACCTCTAAAAATTGAGTCCAACTGTTAACCCAGCACTGCCAAGTCCCACAAAGCCATGTCCCTCAGCACTACATCTACAGGTCTTTTCAATCGCTTCAGGGATAGTGACTCAACCACTTCCCTGGGTAGCCCATTCCAACGTTTGATAAACCTTTTGGTGAAGAAATCTCTCCTAATATCCAGTGTAAACCTTCCCTGGTGCAACTTGAGGCCATTTCCCATCGTCTTATCCCTTTTTACTTGGGAAAAGAGACTGACGTGCACTCTGATAGAACTTCCTTTCAGGTAGTTGTAGAGAGCGATATGGTCTCCCCTGAGCCTCATTTTCTCCAGGCCAAACACCCCCAGCTCCCTCAGCTGCTCCTCATCAGACTTGTGCTCAAGACCCTTCACCAGCTTTGCTTTGGAGATGCTCCAGCACATCAGTGTCCCAACTGTACAAAGCACGGTACTCACAAATACAGCTCTAGGACTGCTAGCACTGATGCATTCTGTCCATTTCAGCTCTTCACAAAAAGGCAGTACCTCACTTTTTACAGTCTTTAAATATTGTAACTTGCAGGCAAAAAAGTCAACCATACTAGTTATAAACATTAATTCAATGCAAGGTGAAAACCGCCCAAATACAGCTATCTTACCAGTAACAGTTTTACTCTATCCACTATTAAAAATGTACAAGTATCATTCTATGCACCACAATCTTACAATTAGCTTTCTCTTTAAAAAAAATACTGATATAACTCTTCTCATTCTTATTTGTAAATGTAATACTTTTACTCAGTAGTAAAATCTTCATTTTTTCAGGTACTTGTCACTCTGTGAAGCAGATATTATCTTAAGTTAAAAAAAAATCCTTCCCTCCTTAAATCCCTAAACACTGAAAGAAAAGTATTAAAATTTTAAAAAAGCACCTTTTTTAGCTTTATTACTTAAGCACGTGTTATGCAGCTGGAAGGAAAGAAGCCTAAAAGCCTAATTGACTCTCTTCTGCCAAGGCCCACATCCCCAAATGAGATCACAGTATGGCCAGACTTACTTTTTTAGCTGCCTGTTGTAGAGGAAGTTACTGGGCTTGACGTCACGGTGAACAATACCAAAGTGATGAATGCGCCTCAATGCTTTGAACAGATTAAACATGTATTCCCTCACTTCTTCGAAGGAAAGAGAATTCAGAATGTCCTGAAAGATTATTTGGATACTGTAATTCATAGAATCATAGAATAATTACAGAATAATTATGCAACTGCTCTTAATTGAATGTTTTACTACACATTAAAATAGACTCACCAAGAAGGATTCATGTTCCAGGTATGGCATAACAATAACCACATGATCATTTTTCCTAAAGCAATATTTAACTCCCATAACATTATCTTGTCCCCTAGAAGAAAAGTAATGTTACTGAATAAAGACCAGAAGATGAATGTTTATTTTCCTTTATTTCTTAAAAAATTCAGTCAGGCTTTCTTTTATAATCCTAACTTATATTTTGACAGCAGTCTTATCAGCAATCAGTAGTTGTGCTGTTGCTGCTCATTGCTATGTTCCATTTGAGTTCTGCAATTTGCAATGAGGGCACCACAGATTATTTGTGGGGCCATGGTTTATAGTTACCGCTGTAATTAAGTATAGGGCCTAACCTTCACGATCCAACTACTTTAAGAAGGTGTTATTCAGCACACTCTGGCAACAAGTATTCATTCCTAAAATCACATTTTCTAATGAAGAGATTCTTTTTTCCAAGCATTTCAGAACTGGAATTTTTGTTACCACAGAGATACATCACGGAATTTCTCAGATGGAAAACAGAGCACCCTCTGCAAACTGAGATTAGCAGAAAAGGGCATCCATTACAGGTAAGACACTCCATTTATTATTTGCTCTCGATAAAAAGAATTTACATGTCTGCGGTTAAAAAAAAAGCAAGAGAAGTGCCAAAATTTAAAATAAATAAATACAGAACAGTGAGACAGTGTTCAGCAGTTTAGTCATGACAATCATAATTTTTTTGTTTATGTACCCTGCTACTGTGAGGCACTGAAGTTCAGCAGCAATTCGCAGAGGGTGGCTGGTTGGAATCAAGTGTTTCAGAGCCATTTTTTCCTCTAATCCAGTTTGTAATTGTGCTGTGGCCAAGTAAACAGAACTAAAAGTACCTGTAAACAAGGAAGAAAAACACTGTCTTCAACATTTTTAATTAGGTCAATGCAGCTTTTTACAGAAGTGATGTAACTGTTCACAATCCTGCAGTGTACTTGATACTACATCAAAAGCAGATTCTAAAAGAGAAAAATCCAGTTCCTTTTTTCTACTGCTGAATTCCGTGATCTTGTATACAAGTTTTTTATGTCAGTAAAAATGCAAATATAACACTGTCTAACTTGCCTGGGACACAGAGCTCTTTGAATGTAAATTTCCTATCTTTGATTTGCTTTCTTGTTTAGGTAGCTTACTTTCATCTGACATCCAACTCCTCTCTCTACAATGTAACAGGACTATATGATGCTAATCTGGAAGGCACTGCCTTTCCTATTCAAAGCACTTCTGAAATTGCTGCATTTTTTCTTAATTCTGTACCTTATCTATAAAGTAAGGCTTCTCACATGATGTGTGACTCTATTGTTTGTTTTCCCAGAGCATTAGCACAAAGAATGTGACAGACTCATTTGAGAAAGGGATTTTTCAGGCTTCACAAAAAACTTACCCATCCATTTAATTTTAAGGATATCCTAATATACCTCTTAGGAGGTTAATTCAGATCTGAGATATCTGAATACACAAGTTGAAGTGTTCTTCCATATGAATAAAGAATATAAATTATTTTTAATTACGTTTTAAGTATTGTGTCTGCATCGTGCTAGTTCAAGAGTCTGAGTAAACACATATATAAAAAGGCCAGCAAAAACTCTGAAATACTTTTTGCACTCACTAAAAAAACCAAAAATCTAGAGACCCATGCCTTCAATATAATTAATTACAGCAACAAGAGTTACCAAGCTGACTTTAGACATTATTTTTGGTGGTGAGAACTGCTAACATGAAAGTGACTCTAGAGTGAAATCCTAAGTTGAAGCTTGTTTTCTCATAATGCTGCCAAACTGCTAGTGGTGTTTTTGAAAAGCATTGTTTGCTCCCAAGAGTAAAATCAGAGTACTATTCGTAACCAGAAATTTTTTTAATTATAATATCTTTTTTATGATAGGCAGAACTCCTTTTTTTTATTATTTTTGAAATTTTGTATTTCTGTGGGGAACGGAGCTGGGAGGTTTTGATTGTTTTGGGTTTTTTTGAGACAAAAACTTTTATACATTTAGCCTGCTGTCACGGGAGTTCCATCACAAAATGGATGCAAAACAATCCAGCTTCTCATCTTTTGCTTTAAAAGTGTGGAGTGTTACAGAACATTTCAGAGATCGAATGGGTAAAGCTCCATAAAGTGCTGAAATCCCCCACTAGTAAGTTCCTAAGAGTCTATTTATAGTCATGCCTGACATTAATTGAGGGTATCTGCAATAGTGTCTGTTGAAGGCAAGTTGTACACAGGCATTCTAAAACTTGATACTGTATGTCATCAAAAATAAAAAAGTTGTTCATTTTTTTAAGTAAAGCAGCTCCAACCTTTCAGTTTCCTCCTCCACCTCTGCCCACAGGGTTTTAGTGGAAACAAAGCCAACTTAGGGAACACCAGTTAAATATGTCAAAACACACCTACATATAAATAGATTTCTCACGTAAAGGAGAAAAAGAATGGAATGTTAAGACTTACTTACTTGAATCTACTTCAAAAATTTTTAATTGTCAAAATTGGAGTGTTGTTTTAAAAGACTTTAACATATCAGATTTTCAAGAAAATAGCTTGAAAATGTTCCTAATTAACACACCTATGTGCTCAGCTATTAGAATTCCTACAGAGACCAAGCAGTAAGTCAAAAAGGAATTTGGCTTAAACTGCATATATTGAGATCTTAGATTTTTATTTTTTAAATTAGAAATGCCAAAAGAAATCTAAGTCTAAGCAAGCTAAAATAAAACATTTACCTTCTCCAATTTTTTCCTTAATTTTGAACACATTTACAAGCTGTGGCACTGCTTCATAAAGTTTTTCAATATCTTTTTTTATTCCTGTGGTGGGAAGAACAGGGAAAATAAGTTAGGAACTTTATTACTTGATTCCATATCTGATGTATATTTGAGATCACAAATTACACTTCAGTTCACAGGACTATGAATTCACATATACAGAGGAAAAAATAGCACAAAGGTATCTTATCCCTGCTGACATTACCATCTGCATACTTGATATTGTCATTCATCCCACTCCCTTATAAGCTGCAGCATTTAAAAAAATTTTTTTTACTCATCTGATACCTAGGAGATCCTGAGAGGGTAAAAGCCTTCTGATTAGTACAACATCTACAGCTCATTGCCAAATGTTTACATGAGATTTGCAATATCAATTTCACACAGGACAAAACTGTAATAGTTGTTTCTGTAAGCACAGGTGCATATCCATCAGATGCATATCAAAAATGCAGAAGAGGAATTATTTTTAATATACTTTTAAGATAAACAGTGCAATCTTTCACACTTCCTTAAAATAGTAAACATCAAACCCCATGTTTGGTCTGCATTTAAGTTGCTGCACTTTGTGCTGCAATCACTAGATGGCACGACAAGGATGCTGTACTGTATTATTTCAAAAAAATCATGTAGTCTTCCATTCAGTTTACAAATTCTTGTACTTTAAGTGTTTTCTATACCCTGCATAAGAATTCACTTCTTTTGAAGCTATCAAGTAAGTAGAGGCTGTGACTAATTTCTCTGAAGTAGGGGTAAGGAATATTTTATTATACAGAACTAAGCACAAACTGGTATTTGAAAAGTCAATCAAATAGAAAAATAAGTATACATTTTTCATTCTAAAAATAAATAATGAATTAATGACAGTTTTTGGGTTGTTCTGTGCCACCAGTCTAACAGTCCTAAGGTATATACTAAGAATCATGGAGAGGTCCCTCAACAACTTCTATAGAATCTGCCAAATACTCCGTTTTGTCTGACATTGAATTCAGATTCCACCCTGAACAGAGTTCAGTGCTGTCAGAGCACTTCCAGTGAGGTGACAGGCTGCAGCACCTACTCAAGGCACAGGAAGCATTTAGGAACTCAACACAGCTGCCCGTGTGAAAGATCCTGAGAAGTGCTAGAAAAAGTCAGTGACTGTCCTTGTTGATAGACAGCAGTACAAACATCACCTAGTCTCTTCTCAGGGCCCGAATACGCAGTTGGATATAGAGAACATACAGTCATTTTACCATCAGTGTATAATAACAGTAACATCCAACATTTTCTGTGAGCAGATTTTAAAGTATTTTCTGTATTTGCCAAGCAAGACAAACACTGTTCAGCATCACTCTATGTAATTCTGAACATGGATGTGCAGGAGACTGACAGAGGACTATCTACTTTAGAAAAATCAGTAGCCATTATATATATAAGCTGGCTGATCATCTGGGATTACTGAGCAAGCATTGTCTCAAGTAAATACACAAAGAGACCAAAAAATGAACAGCAAAACCACTATCAGAACACATGTTCTTAGTTCAGCTTCTACAAAGAAGGAGGAGTGTTTTTATGCACATAATCACATCTAAAGATATTGAAGGATAAGGCCGGCAATTACAGGTTAAAAGGCAAAGTATTGGGTTTGTGCACTTGTCTGGTCAGAGAGTTTTATTCTCCAGGGCTAGCTTTTTTGAATTCTAGTATCCTCTTATAATAAAATATTCTATAATAAATAAATAGTAAGTTTAGCAAATTGTGACAAATTGTAACACACAAAAAGCAGGAATAAACTTAAAATCAAAAGCCACCTCAAATGTTTTCAATTCATTAATTCTTTATACACAAGGACCATATACAGACAGACTTATAATCTATATTGAAACTTCCTGAAGTGATGAAGCAGCATGCCAGCAACAAAACATAATGTTAACAATCCCTATTTCAGCACATACCTGAAAGCTTGCTGTTCTGCTCAAGCTTCCTGTGGAAGTCTTCAGCCTGATGAGGGTGCTGTTCATCGCGGTGAGACTTCAACATCGTCTCCATCACAAAACAAATCTCAAGTAAAAAATCCAAGACTTCGAGGGCCACTTCTGGACACCTGGGGGAGCAAGCATATCTGGTAAGACACTTCCTGGCCCTGCACTCAGTCCCTGAGATGAGGTTTAGGGAGTCTGAGGAGTTTCTCTGTGTTACCTAAAACAACAAAGTGTCACCCATTGTCCCAGAGAAATATCAAATCAGTAAACCCACTCTATCTCTAGTAAAAGGGAAGAGGGGTGAAGGGAAGAAAGACTGCAGGATAAGCTTAGATACAAGTAATTTTCTTTCATCTTTCACATTTCCTCATTCATATTAAAGCATTGTCTTTTCCCTGAAGTTTGCTTTGAAAGGCAAGGAACTGATGCACACAGAAATAGCTGCATTGCACACTGCAACAGCTGTAGAAAGACAGAAAACCTGAAAGAAATTATAAGAGAAAAAAAATATCTTCTCAATACAAGAGATTTCTCTCCCTCCTAGATAATCTCAACAAAAGGCATAATTATTTGTTGCCCTCCCACCATAACAAGAAAAAATAACATGCTTATTTTGAAGTGCTTCTTCCCAAATATTGGGAGTACTACATAAAACTGCAAATTAGTAAATTTACAATTAATACTGTACAATCAAAAACCCCCTGATAATTCTATTTCATGAGTGAAAGAGTGGTAGGGAGCCCCAGGGCAGAATAACGGGTGATAAGTGAGCCTGGAAGCACCACCTCTGACAGTTCCCCCACATTAGTTCCATTCAAAAATCTTCCGTGCTTGTTACTTTGTCAAACCTTCAAAGTTCTGGATGAACTTTTCTACACGGGGGAAACATATTCTGGAAAACTTCCAATGAAAGGATTCATCTCTTTCAGCTATGAGCTGGAAATACATGTTGTCCCCAAAGAATTCGAGCTACCTTTAGTCTGTCATCCATGCGTAACAGAACAGGGACAAGCAATAGCCTCCTTTTTTGACGGAGCTTTGCTGGAGAGTGGGACTTGGAAACTACTGGAATGAGATTAGAGAGGTTTCTAGTCTCTTAGAGACAGACACTCCCTCTGCCAGTGTTGAGCAGGCAGATGAGCCTCTTCCAAACCTGTAACAGCAGGGCCTCACCGGCAGCACAAAGAGTGCAATACAGACATTGATACAGTAAATCCGTCTGTTCCAAGACAGGCAACAGCCGTCCCGCCTCCAGCACTTCAGTTCGCACCGGTGCTGTCACCGCTGCCAGACCAAGGGGAGCACCCGGGGCTCGTCACCGGCTCTGCGGGATAGCCCCTGACGGCGAGGCCGCGGCCCGAGCGCCCGTCCCGGGGTTCGCCACCGGCCGCGGGACTCAGGGGCGGCCGCAGAGGGGAGAATACGGGACGGGCCCTTCAGCTGCGGCAGCACCGCAAGGGAACGGCCTCCGCGGGGACCGGCCGGCAGCGGAGGGGCGGGGACGCGCGGAGCGGGTCCCCCACAGGCGAAGAGGCCGCGTCAGGGCGGGTCGTGCCGGGCCCCATCCCCGCGGAGGGGCCGCGCCGGCCCCGGGCCCGGGGGGGGGGGGGGGGGGGGGGGGGGGGGGGTCGCGCGGGGCGGGAGGGGCTCGCGCGGTCGCGGACACTCACGCGGACACTGGCGCGCGCCGCGCCGGCGTTTTGCTGCTGCCGCCCTTTCGCCGCGCGCGCGTCGCCGCCAATCCCGGCCCTCGGCGGAAGCCGCAGCCCCAGCCAATGGCAGCGCCGCGCGGGGAAAGACGCGCTACGATTGGCCGGGTGCTGGGGATGGGCCCGCCCACAGCGGCGCGGCGGGATCGAAGCGGGGGCGGGGCCCGGCGCGAGCCACCGGTGCCGCCCCCCGGGCCCGGCGCCGTCGGAGTGTCTTACGGGTGTTCGTGCCCCCTGCAACAGTCTTCGGCCCTTAGATTTTCTTTTTTGCTTGTGGTTATTGCGAAATAATTACTGTCCCCAATAAGATCTTGTCCTCATTAGCTCCGCTGTGAGTTCAGTCAAATAGCCCAGAGGCCGTGGAGCGGCCTCGCTCACACCGTAATAACGGGGGAACAGCTTGGCTTGCAGCTTTGCCTTATTACCTGATTACACAGGAAGAAGGATCGCACTGAACACAAATTAAATTTGCATCTTGGCTCTGATCTGCGCTGTAACCACTGACCAGCAATGAGCAGGAGTAGGAAATTTAGTGGAATAACGTTCTGCTGATATTCGAAGTAGTTGGATTTTACCAAAACCAATGGAGTTGCCTGTCTGTAAATAAAAGAATTAGCACTTTTTGTCTTTTATCCATTTTGATCAATTTTTAAGGTAAAATAACATTGCTCTTGTTAAACAGTAGCTCCCTTGTGCATGCTAATGCATAGATCTCTTGTTTGTTAGAATATGAACTGAAACACTCTTGTTTATTGCATACTTCAGGTAGGGATCTGTAATTGCAGCCCTTAGTAAATAACGACCAAACCTGAGGTTGACAAAGTTTCCAAGGCAACATTCTGAAATGACTTTACATTATAACAAGCTGTGCTTAGGCTAACAAATTGTTAAAAGCAGAAACAGGTTCCACCACTTTTGCTAATTTGCATTTCCTATTATACAGTCTAAAAGGAGGGTGCAGAAACAAGTTGCTGAGCTGCTTTGGTGGTTTTCAGCGGTGAGGTTTGATGTCTGGAGTTTTTTTCCCAACAGTTGTTCTAATTTACACTTTCTGTTTAGGGCTCTAATAAGCCAGGGCAGCACTTTGACATTAAGCAAAGTTAAGTATGCTAGCTCAATAATTTCAGTCAAGGGTGACAGTATTTAAAAGCAGATTATACTAAACATGAATTAAATGAGGGATAATGACAAAATAAGGTAGGCCAAATTCTGTTCTTTCTTGCCTCTCCTCTGTTTAAGGCGGAAGTTCAGTCAAATTGACTATGACTCTCCTCATACGAATGTCTTCTCAAAAGTCACTTCATCAATGTCTATCTCCATGTATATCTTCATGGGAGAGTGACAGATTAGGTGTACCATTTCCACTGTATGTCCTCAGTACTTGCTTAAATATCTCCAGCTTATTTTTGCTTTATTTTGAATTAATGCAGAATAGGTAAAGACACAGCTTCTGATTTGCTTCTGCACAACTTCTGTGCCTTTCCTACAGCATGAGACACTCCTTCTTTCCTCTTGACTTGGATTAGCAGAAACTCCTTCACTCTTGGGGCAAAGAAGGCTCTACCTTATCATTTAACACTTAGAGCTTCCAGTTCTAACAATGCACCGTGGTAGGAACTTCTCAGAAGGAAAGAGAAGAAATTGCATCAACAGAATACGACAAACAAAGCAGAACATCTAATGCTCTGCGAGCCTAACCGCTGCATTGTCTTCTCTTGTGGCTTTATCTCTAGGTTGGATATGAAGGATGAGAAGCCAAATGACAATACAGGTCCATGCAGAACATTCCTTATGGCTGACAAGCCATCACCAAAACCCACCTCTGGGAGCTTGCCAAGAAAGGATCCAAACATTGCTGTGTGATTGCATCCACTGCTGCCAGAATCTGCAGCTGAATCAAACTTTTTGTATCTGCTGACAGGCCTAAAAGAATCCATGCTGACACTAGAGCACATCTATTAACCTCTTCCTAGGTCAATTAAACTAGAAGACTCCGTGTGTTTGTACTGTCTTCCAACCTTGAAAACTGATAAGCAAGGTCCAGGAAGGTAACTGATGAAAGTATCCAGCACAAACAGAGGTAGGAGATCCTTAACATCCCCTTGATGCCAAGAACATCTCTTCATAAATTGGAAACCAGAAACTACTTAGAAATGAGCAAATAAAAGTATATTTAATGGCAGTATTAAAAATATATATACAAATATACACATATACAAAATTCAATTTTAATGACAGTAGAGACTGTTAAATGTACCATTCAGTTTTCATTAGCCTGAATGACACATGCTTTCCAACTTTTAATTACTCTTTCTGTTAGCAATACGATTCTATGGCAAAATTTTGCTCTCTTTGGCACTAGGTTGAGACAAATCTCTTCATGCTATTGTGCCCTTTAGGAATCCTGTCAAATTCAATCATTCAGGACTCATGAGTCTTGCACTAACATGAAGAGATTGATTTGAAAATCATGGGACTAAGGTCCTTTTTTTTGTTTTTCATTTTCCATTTCCATTCCTTAACCAGGAAAGCTGAGATTGCCAGCTTTGCTCTCACATGCAAATGAGCACAGCCCTAGAATAATGCTCTTGGATGTGGCAGTGACTGTGTCTGCCAGCATTTTCTGATCAGTTATATCTGAAATATCAAGAATTATTGTGGTGTCAGAAAACATACCACAATACAGCAGTCTCTACAACCTATTTAAAGGCAGTTAAAAATAGATATAAAAATTACTTCAGGCAAAGATAGAGGAATTCTTGACCTTTTATAAACTGGATCTCATTCAAACAATGTATGTTTTAATAAAATCTATCAATATATACCTAATAAGGAATGTAGGCTCTCCTACACAATGGAAAAGTTTAAAAAAGACAAGCTGAGTAAGCTGATGAGTTTGCTGTAGCAGAAAGGGTTTGTGCAAACTTTGACTTATAGACAGAGCACAGCTGTTAATGGTGACAATTTTTACCTGTATGTGCAAAGTTATGATGGTAGTTGAGCCAGTTCTGATACTCACATGGCAAGATGGATACTGGAAAAAATGAAGTGAGTATAGAGAAGAGCTATGGAATGATCTGAAGTCAGAGAAAATGCCATGTAATTGAAGAACTAAAAATCCTAAACTACTCACTGAACCAAAGAGATTGAAAGGTGAGTTGATAACAATGTATACATATATGCACAGGGAAAATATTGAATATGAGGGCCACTTGAACCTACCAGAGTTAAATAAGAAGGAGTAATGTCTAGCAGCTGGAATTAAGCAAAATAAAATAGTGTACTGTTCAGTACCTAGTTCAGTACCACTGATAACAAATAATCCTTGGAATAAACAAGGGCTGTGGTTGATTCCTCGGCTCTCAGTGTCTTCAAATTGAGACTCAATGCCTCCCTGAAAAATGCAGGCTAGCCAAACACAGGCTATGCTGTGTTGAAGTCCAGCAGGCTCAGTTCATGGTTAAATAACACTTGCCTGTAATTTACAGGAGATAAGATTATATACTCCCATAGTCTCTCTTCTTTAGACTTTATAGATAAATTTCTATGATTTATAAACTTTCCAAAACCTCTATAAATAATTCTTTTCCTCCTACCACCCCAAGTTTAGCTTTCCTTTTAATGTATGCCTCATCTGTATCTGACTATCCTGTCTTACTTGCACAGCACTATGGCTAGAAAAATACCACTGACAGGTTATGGGGAGATGGGCACACACTTCTTGTCCCAGCTCCTGAGACTGCACATCTCAGAGAAGTTTCTTAAGTAGTGCCCGTGGCCTTCACCTTTATTTGACCTCTAGGAGAATGCACTTCATCCAGCTCAGCTCTCTCTATAGCTGCTCTTTTTCAACCTTTAGAAGAAAATACACAAAATCAGAGCTTTCCTCAGGAGTAAAAATCCATTTACAGTAATTTAAGTATTCTTATATTTGCTGCAGCTTTAGTGATTACTTACAGCCTAACAGGAATATTGGGCTTGGCCAAACTGGTACATGTATAACTGGCAAAACTGGCATCTTATGTGCATTAGCTGTGTGCTTTTCCTTTCCTGGTGTTGTATATTGTCTCTTTGAATGTAGACCTACAGTTTTCTTTGTTGTTTGTTATATTTCACCAACACACAAGGTTTTTCTCATGGTTAAATACGAGATTCTAGTCTCCTAATAGATATGTAGACTATACTGTGCTTCTGCTCCACTAGCTGACATAAGGCTGAATCTGGTAACCTCACTTACTGGAAAATTGTGTTGTCATTGGAAATACTCACACATGTAAAATGAGCAGGACTTGGCCCTTTGGTCATATTTTTGTAATAAAAGATAAAATGAGATTTTTAGGAAACTGCAACTTATGACCATAATATTTATGAGGCTGTCAGGACTGCACTGTAAAAATTCATATTATTTAATTCTTCACTCTGACACTAAAGCATCATTTCATTTATATGCAAATAAGAATATACTCTACTGCTGTTTCTTCACTGAAGAAGCTGTTTGAATTATTCAGATTTTATTAATAAAGCTTCATAAATAAGTATTTTTTCTACTCAATTGGTAGTGGCCATGAGAGAGAATCTATTTATCAGACTTTGTTATTATGAGCTTCATAACAAAATATGAAGATTTATGGAGTACATAATTAGACGTTATGTGATTGTAATGGAAACATTGGGTTATCCAGATGAAATACTCTTTATGCATTTCTCCTTGGCAGAGGCATTGCTGGAAAATGGACTAAACCTATCCTCATTACTAAGTTCCAAGAAGTGCCTATGAAAGAACAGAGCAATTTAATACTTTCTTTAATCATACACACTGAAATAATTTTGAGTAAAGAAAAGATGCCTAAGAAAGACTACAAGGAATGCCAGGGAGAAGCAGGTAGGGAAAATGATGTGCCTTCTCTGGGCAGAGTCTGCAGACTCAGTGTTAGCTGCATGTGCGACAGTACAATCTACAGCCTGAAGCTGCCTGGCCTTTAAATCATCATTTAAGTGACCAGCAATTAATATTCCCTTCAGGTACAGATCATAGTCAGAGTAATCCTGTGTGAACTCAGTTCCACCTGTGCTGTGAAGAAGGCTGCCTATGGTGCTGAGCCCCAGTGCTGAACCCTGGTTTGGGACTGCCAGGTCTGCAACCTCCTGATGGATTTGGGCAGAACAGGGATGTCCCAATGCTCTGCTTAGACAAAGCATCAGCTGCTTCATGTTTGCAGCAGGTGGGCTTCAGAGAGCCAGGTATTTTCTTCAGCAAAATCAGAGCAAGCCACAGAGATCAAAGTGGCTAAAAGAAATAAATATAAATTGCTTTATCCAAGTTAGGTCCCTGTATTTTTGTTAAATTAGTCACTTTTTTAAATACTGGCCCTGAATTCTCCCCACGGAGTTGAAGTATGAAACAGTCATTAGATGTCCAGTGCTATTGCACAAGAGCACCTGTGTGCCTATAGGTAACTTAAAACAATGAAAATTTAAGGGAAAAAGTCTGGGTATGAAATACATACTGAACATTTCATAGCAGCCCACAGGGATTTATTACTGTATGCTGTAATCCAAGCACAGTTTTAATCTCACACACAGTACCTCTGAAAATCACCACAGTAAAACTACTGTAAATGAAAGGTAGAGGAGTACATCTAGGCTGGGGGGTTTGTGCAGAGAGGTGAAGATGTTTTGCAGGAAAAGTTGCTGGCTTGTATTTTGACATTGCTGATTGGGCATGGACTGAATTTAGTGTTTCTCTGGAAAGAAGATCATGGAGCATGTCTTGTGGAAATCTCTCAACATCTCAATCAAGATGGCTGTTCTTAAACCAGTTTTTTCATGTAAAATAAGGGTCTGCAAGCCACTATGTTGGGACGTTCTGAAAATTCTCAAATTGCCTTAGTCACTATGGACCTAATGATGGTCAGAGCAAAATTTAATCATGTCACACATGATCAGGTGTTTTTAATTACAAAATTCCTACAAAAGACACCCACTTTTCATGCTAGTTTGTATAACCACACATTTTACTTTCGTTAATTGTTATAAGATTGAGAAAGACCTGAAAGCATTCTGCCTAAAGTACTCATTGCATTAATTTTTGAAGACAAATCAATACTGTAACACTGTAACTTTCCTTTCTGGAGTTTAATTTAGAAAAAAAAAGTTGATAAATTAAACTTATTTTCTTGAGACTCTTTTATATTCTGCATGTTGAATACAAGCTAAAACTTACAGACAACAGTGGAATGCTGTTATTCCTCTAACAGTATGCATATGCTGTCTGTTACAATATTATTCACAATTATTCACAATAAGCAGAGTCAAAGTAGAAAGTAAAACAAGTATAAATATCTGTTTTGCTGGGATATCTGTGACAGCATTGTAGCCAAGAATAACAAATTTTTAAGTCTACAGATATTTGATATGCAAAATAAAAATCTCTTTGAAAATAGATTTAAATTGTAACCCCTAGGACATTTTATGAAGCTTTATTTACCAAAAAAATAGTCTAAGAAGGAGCAGAAAAAAAATCTTGAAGTACACAGTAATTTTGGTATGTTTAAACTCCCATGGATGAAAACCGAAAAAAAACCCAAAACCCCAGCTTGTATATCATCTAGGAAGTAAAGTTGTAGGCTGTCTGCAATATTCTAGTAAGACTAGAATTAAAAGTACGCATGAGTTCAGAAAATGTGCACATAGTATTCTTCAATTACATAGTTTCACCTATGGAATTCAGTAAATGCTGAATCTGGAGGCTTGAGTTGTCTCCTGCACGTTACATGGTGGGCACAAGTGGAAAGGATAAGTTACTGATCCAAAAATCCATAAGCAGTTTCTTTCTCTCCACTCCTGGTAGAGGACAGATACTAATTTTCAGTAGTGAAATGAATAGGAATTTTAGTCCTAGCTCTGCAAAAGGAGGAAAACCTAGTATAAGAATATGATTGTTTTCCCCCCTTTTTTTGGAAGTGGTTACATACATCCAGACT